CACGGCCGCTCCAAGACACCCTAGAGTGAGGGGAGGTTAAGATGAGCCCGCTAGCGGCCAATACCTGAGGTGTGCGAAGTGCCATGGGAGTCCTGACCCTCGTTTCAAGCCTTAGATGATGCAAGTTCCATGGTTTTTCCCTGAAGAAAGGCATCGAGCCCTCGGACCAGTCGAATGGATCCGAGAACTATATGGACCGGCCACCAAGAATCTAGAGTCAGTCACCAGCTGACCTCGAACCAGGCCCCCGCAAAGGGGATGCTGGGTCTCCACTCGAACAAGCCCGTTAACAACTCACCGAGCACCGTGCTCCATCCAGCGAGGAAAGCACGGCAAGGCTCAGCCCCTCTGTTCTAGCGAATAAACGTGTGAGGGATGACGATCACAAGATGAACCGACCCCCCGACTAGACACCTTCTTCGCACGAGGGCTCGTGGGCTCGGCATCATAAAGAGATCGGACACGCGGTCGCAGACAAACGACAAGTCACCTTTGGTTGCGGAAATCGCAGACAGAGTGACACAAGAAACTAGGCGACCGACCAAATATCATGGCCATACCGGCGAAGGGTCCAACCATGGCAAGAGGGAATTGGCGTCCCCAAGACATGCCATGGGCAACAAAAGAAGGCCAGGGCCTTCAGAGTCCTCCATTTAAGAAAAACCTCCAAAAGAGTATTCTACTCCTCCGTAGGCTCGGGGGCTACACCCACCGGGTGTGCTCACGCGCACCCACTTGCAAGTCGAAAAAATCCCCCAGACTATTCTACCCGAATCGCCCAGGGGCTCGGAGGGCTACTGTCGGATATCTATACCCGGGAATCTGAGCCAAAGGATTAATGAGCGTCACATCAGCTCATCCGATGGTTAAGGACGCAATTGCGGCCTTGTCCGACCCCCAGGGGCCAGGCCACGCCTCGTTCGACTCCGAGGATGAGGTTTCCGCCTCGTCCGACCCCAAGGCATGGGCTGCGACTCCTCCGACCCTAGGGTGCGGGCTCTGACTCGTCCGGTCCCACGGGGAGGGCTCCGCCTCGTCCGACCCCTGAGAGTCGGATTCCGTCTCGCCTGGCCTCTAGGGCGAGATTTTCGCCTCGCTCTCCCTAGGGTTGGATTTGGTACTGGAGAAAAGTAGTGGCCCTAGGGTGGGACCCAAACCGCTTCAACCACTACGGCGTGGAGGCGTATGCCTAGGAGCATGTCTCGGGCGCGTCCTGACGTGACTGGCGGTCGCATCAGGCCATGCTGGGAGACTCACGTTGTCCACCGCGTCAACAGGCCAGCACTGTGCTGCCAACTCCCTGCCTGACCACCGTCCAACGTCAGTCAACCGGCGTTAGTTGACTGGCACTGTACCACCAGCCCCCCCATATGGCCTCTGTCAGAGGGCCCTTTGACCATTCTGTCCGCTCGGATGGGATGAAAGACAATAACGGCGCACGACGCTCGCACATATGCCATAGTGGCCAATAGGACCCCAGTGCAACGCCGCTACCACCATGATCTACAGGGGCGGCGGGACCCACGCGAAGAGGAGGACGCCACACCCCCGGGAGCCTTATTTCTCTTTCTTTTTTCCCTCTTCCCTTCTCTCGGTCTCTGGTATCCTATTCTCTCCTCTTGGTCTATAAAAGGGAAGGCAGGGCACCGTTCAGAAGAAAGATCAATCGACTGATAGATTGAACAGTAGAAGCATCGAGCAATCAAACCACAGAGATTTGGGAGCTCCTCCCTCTCTCACTAGTTTGTAACCCCCTACTACAAACTCAGTGATGGTAATACGAGCAGCTCGAAACTGAACATAGGGACATTCAGTCAGAACCAGTATAATCCTTGTGTCCTCTTAGCACACCATCCGGATCAGACGCGCAATATACAAATTTACTAGTCGGCTGTTGGAAACACCGACAATGGGTAGTATGAAAAATAAAATTTATGATATATTTATATCTAAATAATTATGCACTTTGCAATGAAAGGAAAAATATGTCAAAGTGTATTTTAATTCAATACAGGTTTAATAGGACATTATTATTTATTGTCAGCATTAACTTTATATTATGGATGTCTCGGTCATCATAAAATAAATTATAAAAGCATAAAACATAAGATGTGTACCATTCACATTATCGTTTTGCATGAATGTTAATAGTTTTTTTTCTCCCATTGCAACGCATGGATATATTTGCTAGTCTATCCCTATTTGAAAACAGATATTTACTCAATAAGTAATGGACCTATTTAGATTAAGAGTTGTAGCTATTCTGGTGTCGATCTTATAATCAGACTCCATATAGGTCTAGATGCGAGCTATTTCTAACTCGTATGAGCACGGGTTATATATATAAGTCTGGACGTCCGGTAGTTAGAGGGGACGGACAAAAAAAAATAGATGGACGGAAAAATGACTAGAATTTTTTTTCAATGTATTATTAGGTATCTCCTACAACTAAAAAGAACAAAGTGTGGATATTTTTTGGTGCAACATTTGTTTTGGTTCGTCCGTCTGCCCACGCCTGTGATCCCCGCCTACTTTGAAGGAAACAAACCGATCAGCTGAGGCCACATGCATAAAAGGAAACAATAATCATGCACCGCGTGATAGAAAAAGAAACTGTTATCCCTGCGATCCCTGCCTGCTTTGAAGGAAACAAATCGATCACCTGAGACCACATGCATGGAAGAAAACAATAATCATGCATGGAATGAAACAATCATGCAGTGCCCCTCTCTCACTCGGTCAGATATATTTCATCTTCACATAAACCGGATCATACGGTATTGTCCATAATTTGGAGGGTATTAAATTTAGACTGGGTACGTAGTAGGTCACCTAGCTTTAGTATTGCAACTTCTACCTCTTCATGTGTTAGTCTTTGCCAATAGTATAATTTGTTCGCAAAGTTCAAGCAAGACAATTGGCAAAGATCAAGCAATATGACTCAATGAGGTTGGCCTTTAATTTTAGTGTTTCCAGCATGCAGACCTGGAATAAAGAAGTGACTGCTCCTTGAGAACATCAGTGGTGCCAAATAAAAAATATGCAGATTATACATTGTGAGACTAGTGAACCTTCTACAATTTCCTAAATGAATATTCCCACCATTAGTATATAGGTCAATTCCTCTGCGTTTCTTCGTGCTCCCATTAGCATATAATATAAAAGTATTGTTGTGTTCATCACGACTTCCAGTTGACTACTCCCATTAGCATATACTTTATCTGCCATAAAATATAAGTCGTTATGGGATGCGTGTAGGTCAAACTTTTTCAACTTTGACTAGGTTTGTAAAAAATACGTGCAATATTTATATCTCCAAATAAGTTTATTATGAAAATATATTCAATGGTCTATGTAATGATACTAATTATGTATTATAAATATTAATATTCTTTTATATATAATTGATCGAAGTTAAAAAAAGTTGACTTCTCGGAAAGCGAGAATGAATTCTATTTTGGGACAGAGGGAGTATATGAAAGCAGTGTTGAAAATATTTTAACAATCAAGTTTGTCTCTGTCTAATTGGTAAGCTTAGACATCATAATTGCATCAAAAATTTCGACTCTCATGGACACCCTCATGGATCAGTGCAAAGCATCCTAATCCTACAGCATACACAAATAGCAACCTTAAAGTTATGATATTTTTAAAGGGAGGATAATAAAGACCATCTTAGACGTTCTGGCATTAGAGTATATACGTGCAGGCATATAGGTATGGTGGTGCAAGTAAGCAGCCAGCAGGAGTCAAGAGTTAAGGGATGTTTGGATCCCAGGACTAAACTTTAGTCCCTGTCACATTAAATTTTTAGATATCAATTAGGAGGACTAAACATGAGCTAATTATAAACCTAATTACGTAAGTTGTGGCTAATTCGCTTGCCAGCGCCGTGTACAGGATGGTATGTAGATGCGGTGGAACTTATTCGTAGATTTGTTGACGCACGAAAGAAATGGATATCGAAAATCTCTTCCTACCGGTATAAAAAAATGATCTTAACCGCATCACGGAAAGATCTACACAGTAGAGTTTGTGAGCCTGCGACGCCACACTCTCTCTGACTATGTAAATTTCACGAACTTAGCTTTTTAGATTAAATGTCACTTTAACGTCGGTCATATACCTTTACAGTATTTTTATCTTATCGTACGATCCGTGTGTTTTTAGTATAAAAGTTTAGCTGTCCCGTAGCAACGCACGGGTACGAACCTATTTGCATATATACTCGAACCTGTGTACATGATTATGTGGAGATACAGCGGAACTTATTCATAGATTTATTAGCGCATGAAAGAAATGGATATCGTAGAATTTTTTTTGCCGATATAAAATATTATCTTAGCCGTATCACGAAAAAGTCTATACAGTATAGTTTGTGAGCCTGCGACGTCGCGCTCTCCGTGACTGTGTTAATTTTATGAACTTTAGTCTTTGAATTAAATGTTACTATTTAATTTAACAGTATTGTTATCTTATCGTGCTATCCGTGTATTTTTAGTAAAAAAATTTAATTGTGTCGTTGCAACGCACGAATACGCTAGCCAGTATAGAATTAGATTTACAATTTTATACCGGCAGCCAGCTTGACGCACACGCACCGCGCTCGTGTCGCCCGGCTTGTTTTCTTATCGAAAACGAACGCGAAGCAAATGGGGAATCGGATCGATGTCAAACGGGCCGTTTGCTCCCAACGCACACCGACTCATCACCGCCTCTTGGCCCATCAATCGGCCCGGCTCATCACCGCCGAACTCGCCCCACACCGACTATAGGGCCCAGCCCACGGCGAACGCCTCGCTCTCTGGGCGTCTGGAGGCAGCTGGCAACAACCACCTCGGCTCCTCCGTTCCGCCCATAAAAGATGCCCCATTCCTCCCCACTCGTACCAGGCTAACAGCCTTCTCCATCCAGAGCCTTCCTCCCCACACCACACCGAGCCCTCCGCCTTCAAACCCTAGCGAGCGAGCCAGCGAGAGGTCTCACCCCCACCACCACCCATGGAGCGCCGCCTCCACCACCTCGCGCTGCTGCTCGGCCTCCTCTCCTGGGCGGCGGCGGCCGCCACGGGAGCCGAGGCGCAACCGGTGTGCGACCCCTCCATCATCGCCACCCAGATCGCGCTCTTCTGCATGCCGGACATGCCCACGGCGCCCTGCTGCGAGCCGATCATCGCCTCCGTCGACCTCGGCGGCGGCATCCCCTGCCTCTGCCGCGTCGCCGCCCAACCGCAGCTCGTCCTCGCCCGCCTCAACGCCACCCACCTCCTCGCGCTCTACGCCTCCTGCGGAGGACAGCACACCGGGGGCGCCCACCTCGCCGCCGCCTGCCAAGGTACATCGCGTTCGCCTCTCTCTCTCTCTCTCTCTCTTTGTGTGTGTGTGTGAGAGAGACCTGTGCGCGTGAGTGTGTGTGTTTGCTTGTGTGCGTGAGGCGGTGAGGGTGTGTGTTCGCTCGGATCCAGTGGTGGTTTGGCGAGATCCTAGTGTACTGTGTCTATGCTTTCGGATTTGGTTCTTGAGTTTTTTGCGTGCGTTTTTGCGTGATGTTATTTCGTTGCGAGTTCTCGTCTTCCACTGTGGCGACGAACCCGTACGTCTTGATCAAGTTTGTTCGAATCTTGTTTTTGCTTCATATCGTCGTCTCTTTTGGGTCGCAAGAGCGCTACTGCTAGTACTAGTGGGCATATTTTGGGTGAGATTACCCGTAGCTCCGTACGCGCGCGACTCCTGGATTTTTCACCCTTTTCTCTTTGGTTTGGATTTCGTTCGTTTTGGTCTGGATTTCGTTCGAAAAAGTTTGTTCGTCTTGGTTCCCCTCTGTGGGCTTAATTTTCCCCATGGATCACCCGATGATTTGACCCGTTTCAGATGTTTTTTGCTTACTGAAAAGTATTTGCTTATTAAGCGAGGTCCGGACGCTGCGTTTCTTTTTCACCTCTTCCTTTTTGCGTTCTTGTCTGTTTGTTCCTGTTGCGTGAAGAATTTTGAACAGATAGAGCAACTGCCCTCTGGGCTCTGGCTTTGCAGCAGCAGGCCAGCTGCACAGCCTGCAGCAGCGCTGCAGCCTTTCAGGATTCTTTCCAGCAAAGACCAGCGCCGTTTCTCTTGCCCGTTTGTTTTCTTGGCCCGCACGAAATAGCGCCACGTCGCATGCTTTTCTACCCGAAAGACGATACTGCCCTTGCACTAATTATCTTAGTGTTTTCTTTTTGTGAGCGTGAAATTATTGCATGTCTGGACTAACGCCGTTAAATTCACGTGCTTTCTTGCCTGCAGGTCCATCACCTCCCGCCGCCACCGTTCCCGTGATCGCCCCGCCGCCGCCCGCCGCGCCCCGCCACAAGCAGCCAACACGTACGAACCCGCTGTCAGCTGCTCTGCTCTGTGCTATTTCTGCTTTAACTTTTCGCGTGCTCTGTTTGATCGATCCGAGAGTTGGACTAATCCGTGCGGTGTCTGTTTCTGTTGTGATGATGTTTCGCAGGCGAGGCCCCACCCCGCCGCCACAGAGCGAGAAGCCGTCCCCGTCGCCCCAGCAGCAGCCTGGCGCCGCCGCCGCCGCCCACGGCAAGGCCATCCCCACCAGCCCGGCCGCCTCCTTCACCCAGCTGGCGCCGGCCGCCGCGCCCACGACGCCCACGCCACCGCACTCCGGCTCCGACAAGGGGCCCATCGTCGTCTCCGCCGAGTTCCTCTTCTTCGTCATCGCCGTCATCATCATCGTCCTCGACTGAGCCCGCGGCGCCGCCCCGGCCGGCCGCCAACCATCCGCCGGTGCCTGGCTTGAGCCCGTAGCAGCAGCAGAAGTCGTAGTGCAACTCGTTTTCACGATTTCCCTTTGGCTGTAGCAGTAGTAGTATCATCAGTAGTAGTAGTAGTGCCACTTGGTCATCGAAATTCTGTTGCGTCCTAGTAGTAGCATCATCGGTAGTACTTGATCGGTGGATTTGGAAGGAGGACGTGATGGTTGGTCTAGCAGTAATCCCCGTATGGTCATACCTGCAGTACTATGGTTTCGGATGAATGGTGATGGAACTAATCTTGGATGGTTCGATCGGGAACTTAAATTCTGCTTGCTCATGATGAATGCAGATGGTAATATGGAATGTGAACTTAGATAAATGTGGCTTGTTATTTTGATTTTATTGTTTCTGATTCCATGTTGCAGTGAAGTTTTTGGCTCTGCTTGTGATTTTTCTCGTTTGTTGCTGATGATCGGTTGATGCTTATTGGTTTGTAGTAGTTTAATTCTTCTGGTTGGTACTTGGTAGGAGTAGTTCAATTTTCATGTACATATACTGTAATGTTGGTCATAGTCTAATTTTATCTGTAGCATGTCCTATCTCGTCATAGCTTAATATTCCCCAACATATGCCTGCGAACTTTTTTTGGATGATGGATTTCATGTGGACTGCTACTTGTTATGTATCTGGTACTGCCTGCAAACTTTGTAGAAACTTGAATGAATTATCCACATAGTTTCACTATTTTCTGAAAGCCTGTCATCTCTTTCCTGTTTATCTTAGAACCTGAATGTGTTTGTCTGAGTGTGAACCTGAATGGATTGTCGACGTAGTTTCAGTAGATGGAAATAAAGATTTGTATTGAAAACTGAAACAGGTAGTCCATGCCTTAGCGGCTTGCTCAGTTCTTGTATCATCACAATTGATTCTTTTCATTTTTCACATGAATGTTTTTTGACTGAATTTTCTAAATTTTTCACATGAATGTTTCTCTCTTAATTAACCAACTAAAATAAAAATAACAAAAAAGTATCTCCCTCAAACTACACTAGCAAACCTACCATGTAGGAGAATAAAATTGGTGGAATAATTGGATGTATTGCATTGGACCTCATGAGCTGATTATATAGGGTACATAGGACTAACACCCTATATGGGTAAACAATATGGTACTATTCCTATTCACTCTAACCCCTAGAAATCCTAATAAAGATAGATGTTCCATACACAATTACAAGATTTCTTTATCCATTATAGTCGACTCGACATTTGTACAAGCGCAATCAGTAGTAGCAAACGGAGCATCACATCGTTCTGATTTTGACGAGGCCAGTAGCATTTGCAAACGGCCGGGCTGCGGGCGTCGCCAATGTTGGCAGACGTCGTGATGTAACGTCCGTAGTCGTATCTCGTCTATTCGTCTCTCTGCCGCGTCCTGCTCGCTCTTGCAGCAAGTCACCCGGAGGCCGGAGCAGGCGGTCCAGCTCTTGCGCGCGGGGGCACTCAGGACTCAGCTGCTTTTTGCCCAGTCCGGGCTTCGGCAACGGCGAGGGCCGAGGCCTACCAGTACCACCTGTCTGTCATCTGTCACACTAATACCTGATGCGGTACGCGCGACGTGCTCTGGCCGTATATGCAATCAAAAGTTGATATCCTTTTTCACAAGAGTGCAGCCAACGGAAAAGAAAACATTGCATGGAGTATCACACAACACACTAGGCACGCACAACAACCCTACGGAGGGGCAAACATCTTTAGAGTTTAGACCCAAAGATTCTCGTACAAAACCCAGCAAAACCGTTGTGCATCTTGCAACCGCAATACAAATCAAAGAAGTTGATGCGTTAAAGAGAGATAGCTAGGGAGATGAAAGTATGGAACCCATTTGTGCCTAGAGGTAAGGCGGCAAACAAAGGGAAAACACAACGGTAGAATGGTGGTGATGGCATGCACATTATTATCACCCGCAACTGGCCAACTCTAGTGTTTTTTTGAGTAGTAGACACGCAATAATATATATAAGCAGTGTGATCATATCACGCGAATGACCTTGGTCCACGTAGTGGACAGTAGATGCACACGAGCAATCTGCAGCTGCAGCACGCGGCCGAAGCAGCGTCTCGATCTAACGATGTACATGTACTCCCATTCCGGCCGGACGGCTGGCAGCCCGACACGATGAATCAGCCGACGCCGTGATGTCTTCCAGTATAGCTCTAATTAACAAATGGAGAACTAATAAAATAGGTAATCTATATGCCTGCCTGCTTCCCAGTTTTGGTTTGCCGTACCATCGCTGACAGCACTACTTCAGCAGCACAATAAATCAGCATAAAGCTAAATTTCAGCGAAACGAACAGGCCCAGTGTGTCTCTCAGTTTACATTAGAAAATAAACCTCTAGAAATCCCTAAGATAGATTCCACACACAATTATGTACGATACTTCTTTGATCCAGTAAGTATAGTCGACTTGAGATTATACAAGAGCAGCAATCAGTAGTAGCAAAAACGGTGCATCACATTGATCTGATTTTTGCGAGGCCAGTCGCGTTTGCAAATGGCCGGGCGTTTGCAGATTGGCAGACCGCAGACGTCGTGACGTACCAACCGTAGCCGTATCGTATCGTATCGTCTCTGCCGCGTGCAGAGCAAATCGCCGGAGCAGAGGTCCCCACGGAATCACCGCAGGCGGGCAGGAGACAGGGGTCCCCACTCCACAGCTTTGCTGTGCGCGGGGCGCACTCATCTGCTTTTTTTTTTTCCAAGTCCGGTCTTCTTCTGCGACGGCGAGGACCGAGGCCGACCACCTGATCTGATGCGGTGCGCGCAACATGCTCTGGTGCTCTGGGCTCGTACCCGGTTCCCAAAAATCTGAAGAGGAGGGCGCGGCCGGACAGCGCGTTCGTGCACGCATAGTACGCGGCAGCGGCACACCATTGTTGCACGGCAGGCCACACCGCCACACGCCTAGACGCCTAGCTACTTCCGCAGGAGTACCTTATCCTGCCCTTGCATACTGTGGCCCCGTTTTGTTTGGTGTTGAAACCAACAAATGAAACGGCCGTTTATTTGAACTGCTCGCCTGTACACTCTGGACGTGATTGGTTGCTTTGGTGAGGGGAGCCGGGTGGAGAGCCGGTCCAGAACGGTGAGATGTATGTTTAAACCGTACACTCAGTCGTGTTTGTTTGTTTTTGTTGTTGATCCAGTATGAGATGACATCTTGTTTGGTTGCATGTATGGATATGAGTTTTGAGTGTATGACATAAAACCATCCGGCTTGTTCCTACTAAAAATCAAAAAATATGCATCGATTATAAGAGGGGAAACAAACAAAATAGTGCATTTATGGTGCCAGATTTGAACTGCTCGCCTGTACACTCTGTTGAGAGACATGACGTGCTGTTTGATATTGTCCATCCAGATTCTTTTAGTCACACCCAACATGAATTCTTCACGTTTCAGGGGCCCCAGTGGTCACTAGCTAGCCGTATGTACGATCAAACGTTGATCTCCTTTTTCACAAGAGTGCAACTTAACCGAAAGAAAAATGCATGTATCTCCCTCAAATTAAGTACGCTACACAACAGTAGGCAGGTCTTATTTAGATGCACATATATTTATCTTAATCCACATATATGAAGTAGAATTAAACTAAGTTCCATTTCAATCTACTCTAACCCACGTGGATTGAAGTGGATACACATATGTATCCAAACAAGACCTAAGGGTGGGCAAACATCTTTGGAGTTTAGACCCAAATATTCTGAGACATTATCAAATATTCCCAGTTTTAGTTTGCCGTGCCATCGCAATTATTTGATCGTTCTTAGCAATTGCTCCTCACCCACCAACTAAAATTTAACTAATAATAAGTATGCTTATTATTATGATCTCTCGAATTTCAATGGACGATTTGCAATCGTTCGGCACCCGCTGAAAGTTGCCCAAAGCTGGCCGTGACGTCCGTCCGTCCGTCCTTGGCCATTGAGCAAAATCTATACCACGGCACGGCATGCTCCGATCCGGAGACGCGCCGGTGTCCCGGACGCATAACGTGCATGGGCGTGTGTTGGCGTACGTGTTGCTCGTGCCGCAGCACCGCACGTAAAAATGACCTGGACAATTTAGAGGTTGTTTTTTTTTCCTCCTGGATCCTGTTATACCTTGCCGAGCAAAGTTATTAGCACGGACGTGTGTGCTTTCTTTGCCTGAGCGTCTCAGGGACGGCGACGATAAAACTCAGATGGGCTCGCCCGTCTGAGCGAGGTGGTAGCCTTGCTCAGGCATGAGTTCACCCACAAAGATATCGATTGTTACTAGTCACAAATTTGTGTCAATATAAATCACATAGGTGGATCACACACAAATTCTTATACGAACCTAGTTTTCTTTTTGAACAAGTCGGGAAGGGAAGCTCCATACCTATTTTTTTTCCTTTTTCATATATGAAGGTACAAAAAGTTACAGAATGTACAGAAGTTACAAGGCTGCTAGGCCCAAAAATAAAACAAGGGGGTACATGATCATAAGAGACTCCCTCTCCACAAATTTAGAAGATTGCCCCTACTCGGCTTGGCCTTAGTACACACTAAACCAAGTTCCTCTTTCCAATTAGTTTTCCAAGCCAAGAGGTTGCAGGAGCCATTATCAAAGATAATGCTATTCCTCATCTTTCAAATGATCCAGCATTCCGCGTTATCATTATTTCTCTGAAGATGCTACTGCCAAAATTTGTTCTAGCTTCAATGACCATGTCCAATGGTTGGAGAGTAAAATTCCAGTGAATGTACTGTTTCACGGAGGGTAGCACATATATAGCAGCAACACGGGCTAATAGCAGTGTGTTAGCCCAAAACAAAAACAGTAGGCCATGTAGATATAGAAGTGTGAAGTGAAGCCTAAAAAATATTGGACCTCACAGTAAAAAAATGGACATCTACTCACACTACCACATCATGCTACATCACTCTATAGCGCAGCCAGTATA